ATCACACCCCTGAGCCAGCCTGGGATAACATCGGAGGTCGGAGGGAGATGGTCCGGTGACCTTGGTCCTGTGGCTGGTGGTGTCTGCATCCTCAAAGCCCACACCAAAGACCCCACAGGCTCTAGGGACAGAGCCAGTTTACCTTTCAGAGAAGCAAGACTAGAGTTTTCTGTGTCCTGGTTTCCCGGGCACTTTGTTCCGGTAGACGCCTCACTAGCGGAGCCAGAGACTGTCCGTAACAGGAGATGAGACGCAATGCGATTTTGTGATAATTAGGTTTAAGTGGTATAGTCACAATGCCCAGAAGGAAGTCTGGCTTCGGTGCTTGGTGTAGGCGCTGTTCTACCCGAGTTCTGTGTGCATGTGGTTTTGAGGCACTAAGTTTTGGGATTCTTCGTTGCACAGTAATAGAAAAGGAATAGGGTAACCTTTATACTACCACTGCTGGAACTAATTCTGTCACATTCCTCCTAGGAAACTTTATTACCTCAAACTGAAACCACTGACTGGCCCGCACAGCCCCCAGGGCAGCACCTGGCCCCTGAGCAGCTGGCTGCCTCCCAGCATCACACCCCTGAGCCAGCCTGGGATAACATCGGAGGTCGGAGGGAGATGGTCCGGTGACCTTGGTCCTGTGGCTGGTGGTGTCTGCATCCTCAAAACTCACACCATAGACCCCATAGGCTCTAGGGACAAAGCCAGTTTACCTTTCAGAGAAACAAGACTAGAATTTTCTGTGTCCTGGTTTCCCGGGCAATTTGTTCCGGTAGAAAAAAGCATCAGAGACTGTCTGTAACAGGAGATGAGACGCAATGCGATTTTGTGATAATTAGGTTTAAGTGTTACAAGTCACAATGCCCAGAACAAAGTCTGGCTGCGGTGCTTGGTGTAGGCTCTGTTCTACCCGAGTTCTGTGTGCAGCGGGCGCCCTCTTCAGGCGGCTGAGGGTAGCGCCCCTTGAGCAACCACAGATGCTGGAAAAGTAAAGGTCTGGTTCAGGCCTCAGACCCTGGCTGTAAGTCCGTCTCCCTGGGCGCGTGTGCTCCTGATGGCACAGACTAGTCGGGGAGGAGCAGGGCAGGGCCAGACAGGACTCGGCTTTGGAGAAAGACAGGCCTAGATTCAGTCCCTGCCCCACTCTTTAAACTTACTAGCTCTGTGGCCTTGGACCTCACAGGAGTGTACACAGATGTAATCCCATCAAACGACAAGAAAACCCAGGGAAAAAAGCTGTTTTTCCAAAACTTGCTAAAATCCATGGGAAAGGAAGAACAACCAAGCGTAGCTAATAGTTTTGTGCACGAGAACATGGGAGGCCCTGCCCTGGCAGCCTGAGGCTTGCTGTGAGTGGCAGCTGAAAAGCAAGTGGTGTGATACAGAAACGAACAGACCACAGACTATAAGAGCATAGAGGGAGGTGCATGTATCTATGGAAACTACATACCTCTGGAAACTACGGGATCCAAGGTGGCATGACGGCCAGTCATAGGAAGATAACGGCTAACAAAGGGTGCTGGCACAATTGGTATCCATCCATCCACAGAAAACCAGATCCCTTCCTCACGCCATAGAAAATTCGTATTAGATGCTTTACCATGCAAATAGGAAAACATGTAAGTCTTTAGAAGGAACTATAAGAGAAAATGATCATGAAATCAGGGGAGATGTATTTTAAACAAGAAATAAAAGGCAGGTTCCAACAAAGCAGTAATGGATGAGAGGAGCTCGGGGTGACCGTGTCCCTCTCTCTGGCATCCAGGTGTGGATGGAGGAGCATGCCCTGTCCACTGTGCTGCAGACACACCTGCGGGACGACCACGAGAACGCCATTCACTGCATGCTGGGCCGGCTCGGGGGCCTCAGTGAAGAGTGAGTACGGCTTCCTGAAGGGCCGGGCCTTGTCTCCGGTGTGACACTCACACCAGTCCTCACCCGTGAGGTGGGCACATGAACACCCACCTCTCACAGTGCGGTGTGACTATTGGGACATTTCTTGGTAGCTCGGTGTATTAGGGTTCTCCAGAGAAGCAGGGCCAATGAGGGGTGTGTGTGTGTGTGTGTGAGTGTGCAGCCATCTATGTGTCTATCGATGCATCTATACCTGTAGAGACAGAAGGAGAGGAGAGAGCAGCCGAGAGGTCGCAATATCTGCCGGTTGGAGCCCACGCACATCCCCGTCCGAGCCTGAAGGTCTAGAACCAGGAGAGCCAATGGGGTCAGCCCGTCAGAAAGCCGCTGGCTCGAGATCCAGGAAGAGCCAGTCTCTCAGTCTGAGCCATGTGTCTATCGATGCGTCTATACCTGTAGAGACAGAAGGAGAGGAGAGAGCAGCCGAGAGGTCGCAATATCTGCCGGTTGGAGCCCACGCACATCCCCGTCCGAGCCTGAAGGTCTAGAACCAGGAGAGCCAATGGGGTCAGCCCGTCAGAAAGCCGCTGGCTCGAGATCCAGGAAGAGCCAGTCTCTCAGTCTGAGCCCCAAGGCGGGGAAAGGTGTCCCAGCTCAAGGCGGGCCGACGGGCAGTTCCCTCTTGTCTATGGGAGGGTTGGCCTCTTCTCTCTTCAAGCACTCACCTGACTAGGCAGGGCCCACCCCATGAGGAAGGGCAGTCTGCTGTCCTGTCTACCATGTCAACACTGATCCACCCAGAAGCCCCAGAGCAGTGGTTCTCAACCTTCTGGCCCTAGTTCCCCATGTGGTGACCCAACCATAAAATTATTTTCGTTGCTACTTCATAGCTGTGA